AAACTGCCCAAAAATAACCCCAAAAACAGCCCAAAAATTGTCCAAAAATACCCCAAAACCAGCCCAAAAATACCCCAAAACCAGCCCCAAAAAACAGCCCGAAAACACCCCCAAAAACAGCCCCAAAACTGCCCAAAAATAACCCCAAATACAGCCCAAAAATACCCCAAAATTCCCCCCAAAATCCCCTCCAGGACCCCCCAGAAACCCCAAAACCCCCCCAAATCCCCCCTTTGCCCCCCCCAGGCCGCGCACGACGGACCCCGCGACAAGAAGGAGGAGTGATGGGCGTGGTCACGCCAAGCCACGCCCACCGGACAAAGCCACGCCCATAAGCGGTTACAAACCCCGCCCCTGGACCAGGCCACGCCCCATCACCAAAGCCACGCCCACAACTCCATATTTGGGAGGGGTCCGGTTTTAAACGTGGCGGTTTTGGGGACCCTCCCCCTTTTTTTTTTGGTTTTTGGGGTCCAAATTGGGTTTTTGGGGGGTCCAAGCCTCGTTTTGGGGAGGCCGAGCCCCCCTCCCGTTCTTTTTGGGGGGGTTTTTGGGGACCCCTCCCCATTTTTTTCTGCTTCAATAAAAAACACCTCGGGTCGGGTTTTTGGTTTTGGGTCCCAAAATTCTCACCCTGGGACCTCCAAATTTCGCATCCAAGACCCCAAAATCCTTCCTGGGATCCCCAAATTCCTTCCTGGGACCCCCAAATTCCTTCCTGGGATCCCCAAATCCTTCCTGGGACCCCCAAATTCCTTCCTGGGATCCCCAAATTCATTCCTGGGACCCCCAAAATCCTTCCTGGGATCCCCAAATTCCTCCTGGGACCCCCAAATTCCTTCCTGGGATCCCCAAATCCTTCCTGGGACCCCCAAATTCCTCCTGGGACCCCCAAATTCCTTCCTGGGACCCCCAAAAATCCTCCAGAGAGACCCCCGAGGTTCCACCTTCTTTTATTGGCACTGTGCACAGTTGTGGGGGGGCGCCGTGGGGCAGGATCCCCCCCCTATGGGGCAGGGAGTCCACCAGGGACCCCCTGCTATGGGGCAGGACCCCCAATTTGGGGCAAAACCCCCCAATTTTGGGGCAAAACCCTCTAATTTATGGGGCAAAACCCCCATTTATGGGGCAGCAGGGCTTTGCTATGGGGCAGAACCCCCCGAGTTATGGGGCAGGGGGATCCATCCCCGCTATGGGGCGGGGTGAAGGGTCCGGGCGTGGCCCCGCAGAGCCTCAAATTCCCTCTGGACAAAATCGGTCAGCGCCTTCCGGAGCTCCACCTGTGGGGCAGGGAGGAATGGATCTATGGGGCAGGGAAATGGGGATCTGTGGGGCTGGCAACCGCATTTGTGGGGCTGGGAGCCACGGATCTGTGGGGCAGAGCAGGAGCTACTCCCAATCCATGGGTCAGACACACACTAAAATCTATGGGGTTCCAGTCCCAAATCCATGGGGTAAAACCCCCCAAAACTACGGGTCAGGAACCCCAAATCTCTGGGTAAAACCCCCCAAATCTATGGGTCAGAACCCCCCAAATCTATGGGGTGAAATCCCCAAATCTATGGGTCAGAACCCCCCAAATCTATGGGGTAAAACCCCCCAAATCTATGGAGTGAAACCCCCCAAATCTATGGGGTAAAACCCCCCAAATCTATGGGTCAGAACCCCCCAAGTCTATGGGGTGAAATCCCCAAATCTATGGGGTAAAACCCCCCAAATCTATGGGACAAAACCCCCCAAAACTATGGGGTGAAACCTCCCAAATCTGTGGGTCAGGAACCCCAAATCTATGGGTCAGAACCCCCCAGGTCTATGGGGCAAAACCTCCCAAATCTGGGGTGAAACCTCCCAAATCCATGGGGTAAAACCCCCCAAAACTACGGGTCAGGAACCCCAAATCTCTGGGTAAAACCCCCCAAATCTATGGGTCAGAACCCCCCAAATCTATGGGGTGAAATCCCCAAATCTATGGGGTAAAACCCCCCAAATCTATGGGACAAAACCCCCCAAAACTATGGGGTGAAACCTCCCAACTCTGTGGGTCAGGAACCCCAAATCTATTGGTCAGAACCCCCCAGGTCTATGGGGCAAAACCTCCCAAATCTGGGGGGAAACCTCCCAAATCTATGGGGTGAAACCTCTCAAATCTATGGGGTAAACCCTCCCCAAATCTATGGGGGGAAACCTCCCAAATCTGGGGTGAAACCTCCCAAATCTATGGGGTGAAACCTCTCAAATCTATGGGGTAAACCCTCCCCAAATCTATGGGGTGAAACCTCCCAAATCTGGGGTGAAACCTCCCAAATCTGGGGGGAAACCTCCCAAATCTGGGGGGAAACCTCCCAAATCTGGGGGGAAACCTCCCAAATCTGGGGGGAAACCTCCCAAATCTGGGGGGAAACCTCCCAAATCTGGGGGGAAACCTCCCAAATCTGGGGGGAAACCTCCCAAATCTATGGGTCAGAACCCCCCCAGATCTGTGGGGCAGCCCCACACCCACCGTGGGGGTCCCCTCGCTGCGCAGCCGCTCCAGGAGGGGTCGGACGCTGAACGGGCGCCCCACAACCACCGTGATGTGCTGGGGGGCAGAAACGGGGGGCGGTGGGGAGAGAGACCCCAAAAACCCCACAGAGACCCCAAAAACCCCACAGAGACCCCAAAAAACCTCTCAGAGATCCCAAAAACCCCACAGAGACCCCAAAAACCCCAAAGAGACCCCAAAAAACCTCTCAGAGACCCCAAAATATCTCACAGGGATCCCAAAAACCCCACAGAGATCCCAAAATATCCCACAGAGACCCCAAAAAACCTCTCAGAGACCCAAAAAAGACCCTACAGAGACCCCAAAAACCCCAAAGAGACCCCAAAAACCCCAAAGAGACCCCAAAAAACTTCTCAGAGACCCCAAAATATCCCATGGAGACCCCAAACAACCCCTCAATGACCCCAAAAACCCCACAAAGACCCCAAAAGAATCCACAGAGATCCCAAAAACCCCATAAAGACCCCAATAAACCTCTCAGAGACCCCAAAAAATCCAGAGACCCCCCCCAAAAAACCCAACAAAGACCCCCAAAAACCCCTCAGAGAC